ACATGGTTTATGAACTACCACATGTTATGACTTCCACATAAGGTATGACTCCCACTGCTTATGACTCACAATGGTATGCTCACACAATTTTTTTGGTTATGAACTTCCACATGGTTATGACTCCCTCATAGTTATGATCCACATAGGATTTTGACTCCCACATGGTTATGGACTCCACTTGGTTTAGTTATGACTCCAAGTTGTCCTTACTCCCACATAGTTATGACTCCCACATGGGTATAACTCCCACATGGTTATGACTTCCACATAGTTCTGACTCCCACGTGGTTATGACTCCCACATGGTTATGACTCCCACATGGTTATGACTCCCACATAGTTATGACTCCCACATAGTTATGACTCCCACATGGTTATGACTCCCACATGGTTATGTCTCCCACATGGTTATGACTCCCACATGGTTATGACTCCCTCATAGTTATGTCTCCCACATGGTTATGTCTCCCACATGATTATGACTCTCACATAGTTATGACTCCCACATAGTTATGTCTCCCACATAGTTATGACTCCCACATTGTTATGACTCCCACATGGTTATGACTCCCACATGGTTGTCTCCCACATGGTTATGACTCCCACATGGTTATGACTCCCACATGGTTATGTCTCTCACATGGTTATGACTCCCACATGGTTAGCTACCACATGGTTATCGTCTCCCACTTGGTTATGACTCCCACTTATGTTTTGACTCCCTCTTAGTTAGACTTCCTACCATGGTTTATGTCTCCCACATGGTTTATGAATCCCTCATGGTTTTTATGACTCCCACATGGTATGACTCCCACTGTTTATTACTCCCACATGGTTAGGACTCCCACATGGTTATGACTCCCACATGGTTATGGACTCCACAATCTTATGACTCCACATTGTTAGACACCCACATATTATGACTCCATCATAGTGATGGTCTCTCAACATGTTATGTCTCTCACATGGTTATGACTCCCCATAGTTATGTCTCCTACATAGTTAATGACTCCCACATAGTTATTGGGACTCCCACATAGTATGACTCCACATGTTATGTCTCTCACATAGTCTATGCCTCCACATATTTATGTCTCCATGGTTATGACTCCTACAAGTTATGACACCCACAATAGTTACTGTCTCCCATGGTCATGACTCCCACATTGTTATGGACTCCCACATATTTATGACTCCCACCATTGTTAGACTCCCACATAGTTATAACTCCCACATAGTTATGACTCCCACATAGTTATGACTCCCACATAGTTATGACTCCCACATAGTTATGACTCCCACATAGTTATAACTCCCACGGGGTTATAAATCCCTCTAGTTATGAATCAACATAGTTATGACTCCCACATAGTTATAAAACTCCACATGGTTATAACTGCAACTTAGTTCATGACTCCCACATAGTTAAGTTATGGACTCCCACATAGTTTATACTCCAAACTGGTTATTATCTCCATCTTGGTTATGGCCCCCATCATAGTGATGACTCCCACTCATTAGGACTCTCCACCCACATGGTTCTAACTCCCACATAGTTATGTATCCCACATAGTTATGACTCCCACATAGTTATAACTCCCACATGGTTATAACTCCCACATAGTTATGACTCCCACATAGTTATGACTCCCACATAGTTATAACTCCCACATGGTTATAACTCCCACATAGTTATGACTCCCACATAGTTATAACTCCCACATAGTTATGATCCCGCCATAGATATGTCTCCCCACATGTTATTAACTCCACATGTTATGACTCCCACATTGTTATATCTCCACATGGTTATAACTCCCACATAGTTATGAATCCCACATAGTTATGACTCCCACATAGTTATAACTCCCACATGGTTATAACTCCCACATAGTTATGACTCCCACATAGTTATGACTCCCACATAGTTATAACTCCCACATGGGTATAACTCCCACATAGTTATGACTCCCACATAGTTATGACTCCCACATAGTTATATCTCCCACATGGTTATAAATCCCACATAGTTATGACTCCCACATAGTTATGACTCCCACATAGTTATGACTCCCGCATAGTTATGACTCCCACATAGTTATAACTCCCACATGGTTGTAACTCCCACATTGTTATGACTCCCACATAGTTTTAACTTCCCACATGGTTATAATACCCACATTGTTTATGAATCCCTACTTAGTTTATAACTCCTCATGGTATAACTCCCACATAGTTTTATGACTCCCACATAGTTATAACTCCCACATGGTTATTAAGTCATAATAATCTATCAACTTTTACATTATTCTATTTGTATATATTTATTAGTTATTTCAAATATCTGTTATTTATCTATATGTTTAGTTATTTTTGTTATTAGTTTTTAAAGTGTTATTATCTATCTTAAATGAAATTCTCAAAGTACATGTAATTGAGGGAAATTACTTCAGGGGACTGAAGTTTAAGACGGCCCAGGAGCCGGATCTTAACTGGCGCAAACTAAAATGGATATATAGGTAGGTAATTTCGCACAAACACACGCACACACACTCACATTAACATACACATACAAACATTTTCACACTCACATACACATACACACACAAGAGCTGTGACTAAATGGGCGTAAGGGACTACATAGTAGGTACAATTCGGTCTGGCAGACACAAGCTAGTCATTGCAGTGATGTATACAACCCACCACAGAACTGCAGGAGGCCAAGAGAAGAATATGAATAGAGCAACGGAGCAATGGTGGACACACTAGCTGAGGTTGCCAGAAAAGCTGACATGGGTAAAGCAAAGTTACTAGTTGTGGGTGATTTCAATCACACGGAGACTGACTGGGAAAACCTGGAGCCACATAGGAGTCCCGAAACCTGGAGAGCCAAGATGATGGGTGTGGAACTGGAAAACCTCATGAATCAACATGTCAGGGACACTACCAAAGAGAGAAGGGAGGATGAGCCAGCAAGACTGGTCCTTGTATTCACCTTGGGTAGCTCGGACATCGAGGACATCACATATGAAAGGCCCCTAGGAGCTAGTGATCACGTGGTTGTGAGCTTTGAATTACATAGTAAAGTTAAAAAGTGGAGAGAGGGCAACGGAATGGATGGGAAAAGCCAGACTACAAAGAGGGGGGGGACTACACAGGCATGAGGAACTTTCTGCAGGATGTTCAGTGGGAGAGAGAATTGGTAGGAAAATCAGTAAACGAAATGATGGAGTACATGACAACAAATAATGCAAGGGAATCAAGGAAGAGGTTTGTTCCAAGGGCACCGAAATACTGGGATGACAGAACGAGCCCTTGGTTTACCCAAAAGGTGTAGGGAGGCAAAACTAAGTGCGCCAGGAGAAGGTTTTTAAAGTACAGAAGGACAAAGGATCATGAAAATAATAAGATTTTAGTCGAAAGCCAGAAACAAGTATGCACTGACAGATATAGAGGGGAGGGCCCAGTGGCAGTACGAAAGCGACATTGTATCACAAGAAACGACCAAGAAGTATGTCAGGAGCTCAACATGAGATTTAAGGAAGTATTTACAGTGGAGACAGAAAGGACTCCAGAAAGTCAGAATAGGGAGGTACACCAACAAGTGTTGGATGAAATACACACAAACGAGGAGGAGGTGAAGAAGCTGTTAAGTGACCTTGATACCTCAAAGGCGGTGGCACCGGACATCTCTCCGTGGGTCCTTAGAGAAGCAGCAGAGACGCTGTGTGTGCCACTAACAACAATTTTCAACACATGCATTAAAACTGGGCAACTATCTGAGGTGTAGAAGATGGCAAATGTAGTCTCCATTTTTAAGAAAGGAGACAGACACGTACACCAGACACGTATACCAAAAGGAGCAGTGCTGTTTTTGGTATACGTGAATGACACGACGGAAGGGATAGACTCAGAAGTATCCCTGTTTACAGATGATGTGAAATAAATGAGGAGAATTACATAGGTTGAAGATCAGGCAGGACGACAAAGACATGGACAGACTGCAAGCCTGGTCCAGCAACTGGCTCCTTGAGTTTAACCCTGCCAAATGCAGTCATGAACATCGGTGAAGGGCAGAGAAGATCACAGGCAAATTACAGTCTAGGTGGCCAAAGACTGCAAACCTCACTCAAGGCAAAGGATCTTGGGGTGAGTACACTACCGAGCACATCTCCTGGGGGAGCACATCATCCAGATAACTGTTGCAGCATATAGGCGCTTGGCAAACCTGAGAATAGCGTTCCGATACCTCAGTAAGGAATCGTTCAAGATTCTGTACACTGTGTACGTCAAGCACATACTGGAGTATGCAGCACCAGTTTGGAACCCACACCTAGTCAAGCATATCAAGAAATTAGAGAAAATGCAAAGGTTTGCAACAAGACTAGCTCCAGAGCTAAGGGGAATATCCTACGAAGAAAGGTTAAGGGAAATCGGCCTGACGACACCGGAGGACAGGAGGGTTAGGGGAGACATGATAACGACATACAAAATGCTGCGAGGAATTGACAAGGTGGACAGAGACAGGTTGTTCAAGAGATGGGACACAGAAACAAGGGTCCCAATTGGAAGTTGAGGACTCAGTTGTGTCAAAGAAATTTTAGGAAGTATTTCTTTAGTCATACAGTGGAAGTGGAATAGTCTGGCAAGTGACGAAGTGGAGGCAGGAACTATACATTGTTTTAAAACGAGGTATGACAAAACTCATGGAGCAGGGAGAGGACCCAGTAGCGATCAGTGAAGAGGCGGGGCCAGGAGCTGTCTCAAACCCTGCAACCACAATTAGGCGAGTATGCACGTACACACCCTCACACACACAGACCACACACACACACACACACGCACGCACACACACACACACGCACACACACACACACACACACACACACACACACACACACACACACACACACACACACACACACACACACACACACACACACACACACACACACACATTTTTATATATTTTCTGACGTATACAAATCAGCCGAGTCTTACCTGTCTGTCGGTCATATGTAGAGCCAGGAAGATAGTGCAGATAAAAAGCACGTGACACATTTCCTCGCCCAGTCCCACACTGGAAACCGTCAGCGGTGGACACACATCGCTCAGGTGCGCGTGGCTGTACACTTCCTAATTATATAGCATTTTTGACGAATTATTCACAGTTCACTATGGGGAGCCCAAAAAAGCAACAGAAAAGAGACAAAATATCGATATCATTTAATAATAAACAAGTGAATTGTTTGAAAACGGAACATTGCATCGAAAAATTGGGCAGAGGAGGAGTGGAAAGAATCAGATGTAGGTCAGGGAGGTGTAGGAGACGTGAGACGAAAGATGTACGATGATACACACAGAAGCTTACGACGACGTTTCGTCGTCGAAAAGAGTGAGTGAGCCAGTATGTATAGGGGAGAGGGACATGGATGGGAACAACAGAGGAAGAATAGAAAGTAGTGGTAAAGCTGGTAGTGTGTGTAACACAGGATGGTTTGGGTTGCATAATAAACTAGCCGCTTCTGCGGCAAAATCTAAATCTATAATGCTTGACACTCAAACATCCCCGAGAGTAATGACGCGACTGTGTCATTTGCTACACTTTACTAGTTGCAATAATTATTATTATTGTAGTTATAAGTATCCCTAAACTACTAATAGCAATAAATGACTGAAAAATAACCCACCTCAGCGGCGGTGAGGACTATGCCAGCGTAGGCAGCCACAGCGATGACGTACACTGCAAACTTTATAAGGAAGTGTATCCTGAAGAAGCTCCAAGTAACCAGCAACACCAGTGTGTAACTGTACGTGAAGTTCTGTGCAACACATGCAACAACAAAGGAAAATTATTTCTTAAACACGATGAAACAAACTATATGCTCATTGCATCAAGAGTAAAGAATATAGAGGCAGTGTCTGTGACTGGAACAAATTCATATAACACGCACTTAAGAGTAACTTCTGACGACGTTTCGGTCATATTTGGATCAATAAAACATAGAAACGCGAAGAAAAAGGAGCCAGAATATGTACGAGAGGGGGAGCGGAGGATGAGTAGTAATGTAGTAGTAGTATTAGCGGTAGTTAGTAGTGGCAATAGTAGTAATATCGGTAGAGGTGCAATAGTAACAGAGGTGGCGATAAGAAGGGAGTATAGGTAGTGAATAAAGGGAACAGAGTGGAGTGTTAGAGAGATATAGTAGTAGGTGTGGTAATAGTAACAGTGGGGGTAGTCAATGGAACAAGAGAAAGGGAGTGCTGCACGAGAGCTAATGTGCCAAGATGGTAGGACAAAATCCCTGCTGGACAAAACTCCCATAGGAAGATTTAGGAAAGGATATGAAAATATAGGAAAGGTGAAGAGGTAGGGAGAGGAGGAAATAAAGATCAGGTCATGTGTTCTCAAATATGGATTATTAGACAGTGTAATGATAAAGGAAAGCATCTATAGAGACAAAGCCACGACAAAGATTCATATTACGAAAGTTATGGATAAGTGATGCTTCAACAAAACAGCGACTGTGAAGGCTAGAAGAAGGAGAGATAGTTTTGGTAGTGGACCAGTCAATAGGATGACTGTGATCTCAATCATGATAGAAAAGAGCATTATTAATGTCGGCAAGCCTAGCAGTTCTTTTGTGTTCTTTAAGTCTGCCAGAAAGAGACTCGTCAGTTACTTCAAAGTATTGTCAGTGACAGGAGGAAAGGTACAAGCAAGATTACGACGAAGAGTATTAGTCCGGCGGTAACAGTTTGATGCCTAAAGAACGGAGAGTATTGTTAAGATTAAGGAGACTGGAAATATAGGGAAGGCAAAGGATAGGAGACTTCACAGGAGAGGAAAGTTTGGGAGAGAAGAAATTCCGTTTAGCACGTGAGTGGCAGTTTATGAAATCATGAGGGTAGCCAAGAACGAACTGCGAAGAGTGGAAATTTCAGTCAAGAAGCTGAGGGTCTCAGATGCGGAGAGCATCCAGAAAGAGAGAAATAAGAGCACTTTTCTTGACAGAGGAAGTATGGAAAGAAAAGAAGTGCATGTACATGCCACTAAGCACTGACTTGCGACAAACGGAAAACAAAACATCGAGGAACGAAATATCGGTCGAAACGTAGTCATAAATTTCAGTCTCATAAATGCGAATTATTTGTGTAATGTGTCAACAGAAAATTAAATATGAGAGGAAACTGATGTACATAAATATCTATCTTCATATAAATTGGATTCATTTATAATTAATAAAATTTGGGAAGAATTTGAGATACATTAGACAAAATTTTTGGGTAGAATATAAGCTGTTTCACGGATCACTGTCTACACTGAGGTGTAGTTTCGTCCTTACATGACTTCCTGTTAACCTTTGATTTTTATAGTTCCTTGATAATGTGAGAATTCACGAAAGCACTTGCAACTTTTCTATTCATTCACAGTGGTTGTTTTGCATATATATATATATATATATATATATATAATATATATATATATAGTATATATATATATATATATATATATATATATATATATATATGTATATATAATATATATATATATATATATATATATATATATATATATATACATATATATATATATATATATATATATATATATATATATATAAATATATATTAATAATATATATATATATATATATAATATATATATATATATATATATATAATATATATATATATATATATATATATGCAATAAGATCACAGTAAACAGGTGATTTCAAATATGCAAAACAACCACTCTGAAAGAATAGAGAAATTCCAAGCGCTTTCGTGACTACTCACATTATCAAGGAACTATGAAAGTAAAGCATCCAAGGAAGCTATATAAGGGGTCTGGTCGGCACCTCACTATCAGATCCCACAACGGTTTAAACACGTGACGCGCGGCGAGCCAACTTGGAAAGGTCCTGTGCACAACTCACCCCACAAACTATTCTAACCCAAGAAATAAGAAATTTTAAAGATTATTTGTCCAGTGTATTATTAAATTCTTCCCAAATTCTATTAATTATAAATGGATCTAATTTATATAAACCAAAGGAAATATTCATATTATTGTCAAAACTGCTTTTTATGAAACAAGATTCAATTATATTCCTGTCGACCATGGACTTTGCTTGATACTACTTGAACATCAAATGGTATACAATACCGACAGGTTGGGTAGGTAAGACACATAGGCAACATTAGGCAACTTTATTCCGAAAAGTTTCGCCTACACAGTAGGCTTCTTTCAGTCGAATACAGAAAGTAGCAGGAACAGTAGAGAAGACGATGTAATCAGTCCATCACCCTTAAAGTCGTAGAATTTGAGGTTGTCAGTCCCTCGGCCTGGAGAAGTTCAGTTCCATAGTCAGGAACTATCTGAATGTACATTCTACAAGATTGATGGACTGAACACATCGACTCCAGGTTGAGGGACTGATTACCTCATTCTCCTCCTCTCCTTACGCCTTCCTCTTTGTACTGGACTGATGAAGCCACTGTGTGGCGAAACGTTTCCTGAATAAAGATTCCCATATGCTGCATAAGTGTCTCAATCTTCAACTTGTCGGTTTTTCAAACCATTCATCACAACTTTAATATTAAAAGTCTTAAGAAGAGAAGGCATATCAACCAAGTTTTCATGGTAAGGGAGAACCAACATATTTTTATTTGAATAAGGCTGGTTGTCCCTTTTTGGATTGTAAAAAGTATTTCTGGCAACTTTAAAAGATTTATCAATTACATTTCTTGGGTATTTTAAATCATTACCTATTTCATAAATTTTGGAGTTCATAGATGAGGAAATATCCAAAATTTATGAAATAGGTAATGATTTAAAATACCCAAGAAATGTAATTGATAAATCTTTTAAAGTGCCAGAAATACTTTTTTACAATCCAAAAAGGGACAACCAGCCTTATTCAAATAAAAATATGTTGGTTCTCCCTTACCATGAAAACTTGGTTGATATGCCTTTTCTTCTTAAGACTTTTAATATTAAAGTTGTATTCAAAAATCTCGATACAGTAAAAAAACTTTTGATAAAGAATTCCCCCCAAAATGCTGATGGATGTGTCTATAAGATTCCTTGTAAAATTTGCGATAAAGTTTATTACGGTCAAACTGGTAAAAATCTCGAACTAAGATTAAAACAACATAATATAGCATTAGAACTGGACAAGATTCCAATGCTCTATTTATTCATGTAAGAGATTTTAACCATCCAATTGATTTTCAAAAAGTTGAGAAAGTAGTATCATGCAAGTCCATGGTCGACAGGAATATAATTGAATCTTGTTTCATAAAAAGCAGTTTTGACAATAAATGAATATTTCCTTTGGTTTATATAAATTAGATCCATTTATAATTAATAGAATTTGGGAAGAATTTAATAATACACTGGACAATAATCTTTAAAATTTCTTATTTCTTGGGTAGAATAGTTTGTGTGGGTGAGTTGTGCCAAGGACCTTTCCAAGTTGGCTCGCCGCGCGTCACGTGTTTAAACCGTTGTGGGATCTGATAGTGAGGTGCCGACCAGACCCCTTATATAGCTTCCTTGGATGCTTTACTTTCATAGTTCCTTGATAATGTGAGTATCACGAAAGCGCTTGGAATTTCTCTATTCTTTCAGAGTGGTTGTTTTGCATATATATATATATATATAATATAATATATATAATATATATATATATATATATATATATATATATATATATATTATCACACTGGCCGATTCCCACCAAGGCAGGGTGGCCAGAAAAAGAAAACTTTCACCATCATTCACTCCATCACTGTCTTGCCAGAAGGATGCTTTACACTACAGTTTTTAAAACTGCAACATTAACACCCCTCCTTCAGAGTGCAGGCACTGTACTCCCATCTCCAGGACTCAAGTCCGGCCTGCGGTTTCCATGAATCCCTTCATAAATGTTACTTTGCTCACACTCCAACAGCACGTCAAGTATTAAAACCATTTGTCTCCATTCCCCTCCAATCAAACACGCTCAAGCATACCTGCGGGAAGTCCAAGCCCCTCGCACACAAAACCTCCTTTACCCCCTCCCTCCAACCTTTCCTAGGCCGACCCCTACCCCGCCTTCCTTCCACTACAGACTGATACACTCTTGAAGTCACTCTGTTTCGCTCCATTCCTCTACATGTCCGAACCCCCCTCAACATCCCTTTCCTGAGCCCCTGGACAACAGTTTTGGGAATCCTGCACCTCCTCCTAACTTCCCCAAAATACGAATTCCTGCATTATATTCACACCACACATTGGCCCTCAGACATGACATCTCCACTGCCCCAGCCTCTCCTCGCTGCAACATTCATCACCCATGCTTCACACCCATAAAGAGCGTTTGTAAAATTTTACTCTCATACATTCCCCTCTTTTCCTCCAAGGACAAAGTTCTTTGTCTCCCACAGACTCCTAAGTGCACCACTCACCCTTTCCCCTCATCAATTCTATGATTCACCTCATCTTTTATAATTTCCCTCCGCTGACACGTCCACTCCCAAAAATCTGAATACATTCACCTCCTCCATACCCTCTCCCTCCAATCTGATATCCAATCTTTCAACACCTAATCTTTTTGTTATCCCCCATAACCTTACCTTTCCTGTATTCATTTTAAATTTTTTTCTTTTGCATACCCAACCAAATTCATCCACCAAACTCTCCAACTTTTCTTCAGAATCCCCAAAAAAGCACAGTGTCATCAGCAAGAGCAACTGTGACAACTCCCACTTTATGTGTGATTCTTTATCTTTAACTCCCCGCCCCTTGCCAAGACCCTCGCATTTACTTCTCTTAAAACCCCCC